TGGATTTTCGGTAGTTTTACAAAGTTTGGTTGTTTTGTTTGAAACTATCTATAATAGTGTCTTTTGTAACAGTAAAAAGAAACATTTACCACTAATGACAGAGTATTTTGTTCTTAAAATGATTGAATTGAATTCGAACTTTATTCTTTAAAGTAAGAATACACAAAGAGACCAGAGTCTTCTCTTAAGGGAAACACCGAAAAACCAAGTACAAATGACTAAGAGACCTGTCTTGTCTTAATGGAAACAGAAAGTGCAAATGATGAGTTGGTGGCCCATCATAAAGATTACAAATGTTACAGATTGAAGAAAAGGTGTAAGTTTACCCCAAAAAAAAGAAAGAAGAAAAGGTGTAAATAATCAAACAAACAACAAAGATCACTTTCACTCGTGATCTACATCAAACCAGAAATAGAGGTAAGCCTTGGAGTACATGACCCGAACGCGCTGTAGAACCAAGTCTCCGCTTGTCGAGACAGCCTTCGCACCTCCCTCGATCCTTGTCTGGAAAACATTCACACTGTTTCCCTTAATCTTTTCGACAACAGCTTCCTTCACTTCCACTTGGCTTAAGATATCTTCTTCATTTACAGCAGTACTCACGATTGGGCATGAGAGATGATCCAAAGGGTTTGTTTCGCATTGAAGCACACATCCGTCAATCATTAGCCTTCCACTCCTATGAAGCAAGCAGCAGCCGAGCTCGGCTTTCACTGTTAGATTCGCTAGTTTGCAGGTCGATAGCAATTCCAAGGCACTGCAAAATAAACCCAACAACAAAAAGCCGTATACCAAAGAACTTTCTTTGCAATAAATACATAATTACTAGTGTAGCGACATAGAACAAGAAGCCACATCTTTCGTTTTCTTTTAAGCCGCAATGGGAAATGCGTTAAGGAGAAACTTCTAGGAAGCTAAACCTCCCAGAAAGCATTACAAATTAAACTGCAGAGTGAAATGACTTAAAAGGAATATGAGCTCAAGTGCAAACCTGTCTGAACCTCGAGAACAGACGAGGGTAGTTTCATCAGGAATCTCGCCTCCACCAACCTAAACAAAGCAAAGACGAGATAAAAACTGAAAGTACTATTGAACATTGGGACTTATGCCTCAGCATCATATCACCCATTCCTCAGAAAAGAAGGTTAAATACTATTTCACCCTCAAGACATAGAGACGTCTTCCACTTAACTGCAACTAAAGAAAACACTGATAAGCCAGTCCCTAATATGAGATGTTTTATGGTGAGTGCATCAGTAAAGTCCTGATTAAATAACTATCATTCATATTCTGCAAATCCATCTATTCATCCTACATAATGCTATACTTTCAATAGCTTTTCATTACAGCTTACCAATCTTTCCATGTGTTGCCCAATTATGAGAAGAGGGGATTACCAATTTACCAAGACACAGGTGGCGGAGAATCCCAAAATCAGTGGATTGTGACTCAAAAGAATCCCAAATCTTCTCAGACTTTGAAGTCGAACTGAAGTCTTTTTTTGAGTTCTTGCCAGGGTCAAGGAATTTTAGTTAAGCTCATGCATAGTTTTCAGTTGTGAAATTGAAAGTTATTGCGTGCCGGTATAAGCTGCCTTTCATTTCTATTTTGGTACCTAAAATGTGACATTATTCTCTTTTGGATCTCTTCAATGCATATTGATCTCCGATACCAAGAACTACGGCATGGGATGGATCTCCATCCTCTCATCAGAATAGGTAGGTGGCTATTTGTTCACACTTATATGGATATCAAACATTTACTTTACAGATGTTGGTATAAATACTTTAGATGAAGTCAGATAATTTATTTACCACTTTTTACGATTCTATTGAAGATCTAAAACATATTTCTTGTCCATGGAAGAAACATATGAAATAGACCAATTCGCATTGGTACTTTTAGAGCAAGTAATGGAAACGAAAGAGGTGTATTAGTACCAAGCAATTAGACTAGATATACAATAGACATACCAGGCAAAGAGGCTTTTTAATCTGAATATTAGAAACGTGATGATTCCCACCAGCTCCTATTAAAATGGTATCGCCGGGTCTAGAGGTGACAATTTGGTCAGGTTATTTGTTGACTCTTCTACGACTACAAAAGAAGTGTTAGATAATATTACAAACCTCGCCGCAGATACAGCTGACTCAATGTTGTGGAAAACACCAGGCTGTGATAAATCCTTAACAAAACGGTCAACGCGTAGCCACAAGCGAGGATGACACGCCAGATATCGCCATCTGTGGCAAACGAGTGCTGTGTTATACCGATCTGCAAACTCAGAAGAGAATACACAAACAACACTGAAATCGACCGTAACGAGCAACAAAATGCCAAAATCAATCAAGAAACTCAAGTCTCATACAAACAAAACATGAAATCTTTAGACCTTCAC